TGGATTCCTATGTTAACTTATCAGTCAGTCCCAGGCCTAAATGACTTGTCTGATGTATCAACCACTGGCATGCAGAAACAGAACTCTCTATGCCAATGGTCACAGTAGAGGCCTGCAATGTCCTATGACACTGTGACATCTCTGAAGACAAGGTAACACCACACCTGAGGACACTAAATCTCACTCATAAATCCAGGGCAATAACTCCCAACCTTAGAGTTAAAACAGATTTCTCATTAAGGAAAGATTTCCTGCTTGGAATATCTTTGTTCCATTTTCATACAGCCTTCCTCACTTTTACAGCTTTTGATGCAGCTGTTTCCTGCACTTTACTGCATGAGCCCTGCTTTGATATTTCCAATAAACAGTGGTTAGTTTGAAGAAGTCAGAATCTTAACCACAAGTCCTTTATCATTCCCAGAACCCTGTACACTGTATTACTTTGGCTATTGTCTTTTATCCTTTACCATACATTCATGCAGAAGATAATGAGACTGGCCAGTCATATCATCCCCCAAAGAAGGAGAATATATCCTTACAAAATTAATCATAGTCTTATCATAAACAGAGCAATTGTAATCTTTGGTATTTACCCAGACAACTGTAAGAACTATATCTACAAATATGTGCTCACAAATATCTATCAGTTTAATTAATCATTGCCAAAATTGAGAAGAAATCAAAATGTCTTCAGTAGGTGAATGGGTAAGGAAACAGTAATACATTTGGACAACAGAATTCAATTGAGCCCAAAAAAGAAATGAGCTATCAAGTCAGGAAAAGACATGGAGGCATAATGTACATATTGCTAAATGAAAAAAGCCAGTCTCAAAAGCTACTATGTAATTCCAACTGTATGAAAGTCTAAAACTAAGTTATGAAAAGATCTAGGTTTGCCTAGGATTAGAGAAGAGGAATAGAGAGATGAATAAGTGCAGCACAGGGCTATTTATGGCACTTCAAGTAGACTGTATGATACTGTAATGCAGGTTACATATCATTACACATTTGACAAAACCCACAGACTGTACAATACAGTGGCTCATCAGTTGTAACAAATGTGCCGCACTATATAAGATGTCAATAGTGTGAAATGCATATGGGGAACCAGGACTTTATGTCCTCTATTAATTTTTTTATTATTTTGAAGTTAGTAAAATACAACAGAACAAGATGGAACTAATCCAATTTACACAGTGCAGTGAAATTTGTACAGAACTTCATAGCAGGTTACCAGGATAACAGTAATAGGTATCACAGTATATCTCATTACTTTCACAATAGTTGTTCTTTCAATCAGGTATAGCAAAATGAAATGAAATACAGACCATCATAGAACTTATCAAAACAGAACATTAATCAGAGCAGTGCCATTAATCAGAATAAAGCAAAACAGTACTAAAAATATTTGCCTTCAAAGAGATGAGAGAAGAAAATCCTCTTTATTTTCTATGGTCAGCCTCCCAAGAGATGCTCAGATCTCTGGCTCCCATTTGATAATAGGGGTTGGGGGTGGGATGTTTGCTTTTCAACCCAGGCACTGGTAGGCTCACTACTGCTTAGCAGGGAGGACAGCTGGTTGCTTGGTTTCCCAGCATCCTAAGATCCAACATGGTGCAGATCTCAGGAGTCGCTGGTGGTTCAAGCCCTGGGGTGACCTCAGCCTTCCAAGCCACAGCCACTTACCAAGGGGGAGAGCTGGTTGCATGGATTCCCAGTACCCTAAGTTCTAACATGGCATGGATCTCAGGAGTCACTGGTGATTCTCCCCCTTGGTTGGCTGCAGCCTGCCACACCACAGCTGCTTACCAGGGGGGCGAGCTGGTTGCTTGGTTTCCCAGCACCCTAAGTTCCAACATGGCATGGATCTCAGGAGTTGTTGTGGTTCTCCCCCTGGAGGGCCACAGCCTGCCACACCACAGCTGCTTACCAGGGAGGTGAGCCGGTTGCTTGGTTTCTCAGTGTCCTAAGTTCCAACATGGTGCAGATCTTAGGAGATGCTGGTGGGTCTTGCCCTGGGGCAGCTGCAACCTGCCACACCACAGCCGCTTACCAGGGAGGCAAGTTCCATTAAGTTTTTCTGTAAATATAATACTGTTCTCAAAATGGAATTTCTTAATCAGAAAAGGTATCTGATCCTAAATCCACAATGACACTCTTTAATGTACAGTGTAAAGGTGGCATGATACATGATCAGGAAAGTCAACAAGGACAACACTAGACTGTTAAAACCTCCAGAAATCTTCATTACAAAAGCTCCCAAAAGTTTGCACTGTGTCTAGGGTCCTCAAGACCAACTCTATGTTTGGAAATTCACTAGGATTCACAGAATTCAGCACATCTCCATAGTCACAGTTAAAATTTACCTCAGGGAAAAGATCCACAGAGAAACAAACAGAAAAGGTGCATGGGGGAAGTTCTGAGGAAATTAGGTATAAATTTCAAGTGATCTCTTAATGATGTCACACAGGACAGACCTAATTACTCCTTTGATGAGCTCTATAACAACACAGGTAAAAATGCTCTCTGCCAGGCAAGCTCATTAGAGACTCAGTGTCATAAGTTGTTCTTGGGGTCTAGCATGTACCAAAATTGTAGGTTCTCTGCAGAAATATAAGCAAATAACCTGCATACTTCTGTGTAAGTCATATTGTTTGTACAGGCAATTCATACTCAGCAAGCAACTCTTATTATGTAGGAAAACTTTTATATCAGTGTAGGGGACTGTTTAACAATCAAGTTCCCAGATGCCAACCAAGGGACACAGATAGATAGCAGTCTAGGTTCTGTGATGCTAACTCTTTTCTGCACAAGAACCCTAGTATAGAATGAACAAAAATGGAAGAAAACAAAAGTAGGCAAAAGAAAGATGGTAGAAGCCTCTACACTTAATTCCAATTTGTGCAAAAGAAGTAGACCTTTTTTGCTATACAATACTAACTCTATCTATCCTGAGGCTTGTGACATATCACCTTTAAGCTCCTTACATGTAATGGAGACTCACTAACCCAGGTACCAGGAGATGAGCCCAATCTGTGTGACATTGCACAAGACCTTATATTAGTCCATTTTCTGTTGCTATAACAAAATACCTCATGTGAAGTACTTTACAAACAGAAGAGGTTTATGTAGCTCACAATATTGCAGGTTACAACTCAAGATGAAATAGATGAATCTTTCTTGTTTCTAGTGAGTAAATAAGTGACCACATGGCTAAGAAATGGACAGGAAATTGGCTTCATTAAGGAGGGAGAGTTCACTTGCTGAGATAGGAAGCAATACCAATTCAATTCCCAAGCTCACATTTTTTATAAGCACTTACTTTCATGGAATTTAACTAGGAAATCTATGGATTCGTAATTCCTTCTAAGAATAATGTCCACAATGACCTAAACACCTTCCACTAGGCTCCACTTCCTTAAAGGTTCTTCATAACACCCGATTGGGGACCAAAATTCTAGCATATGACCTTTGAGGAGACACAGTAAAACCATATGCAAATTAAAGCAAATATTTATACCTTCTGTTCATGATCTTATTCTAGCAGGTATCTAATTTCATACTTGAATCTTCAGTGTTTTCATCTTTTATTGGCTCTCTATCTAGCATATAAATACCTTCTACCATAAAAAGTCTTACTTAGTTAACTCCTTGCTTCTCATGCTCAACACCATTCTCCGGCTCAGATTCCCTACTGTAGATCACTGCAAACCCTACTGATTTTCCTACTTTCTAGTCTCTCACTGCCAGTTTAAGATTCCTAAAACAGAATTCTACTCATGTAGTTTGCATGACGAAAAGCTCTCAACATTCATGATGTGAACATAATTAAACAAAACACTTTAGCCTGAGACACCACAGTATGTACTCACTTGGCTGAGCCAGTCTTGTCTTTCTCTAACCTCTAGTAGTAATGTAATATCAGACCAAATCATTCTCCAAGGATCTATATGCTTTTCATTCTAGGGGCCAGTGACCTCTATCTTAAAGATCAATTTCTCCATTTCTGTCAAACTATTTACATATTTCCAAATGAACATCAAATTCAAAAGACAACATTCTTCCACAAAGCAAATTCCCCATATCCAAATACATCTTCAATTTTCTACTTCCTCATCCTGAAAACACTACTATATACATACACACATACCACACACACACACTGCAGTTCACAAACTTGACTCTTCTTACAATTCTGGTTGCAAACTGAGTTGGATGATAATGGAATCAAATTGAATGATTAGGGTCAATGGTTACCTTATGGGGAAATTTGATATGGTTCTTGTCCAGTTCAGTTTGCAACCAGTATAATGCAGGAAATTGAGTTTGTGAAACAAGGCCTATCTATCTATCTATCTATCTATCTATCTATCTATCTATCTCACATTCTGCTCAATAGCAATGTGTATTCTTATCTGAACATCCAAACTGCAAGCTGCAAAGGAGCAGAAAATTTGTCTTACTTCTTCTTCTGCAGCTAGCACAGTGATTCACAAGTGCTGAGTAAGCACTCAATAATACTTTATTTCAGCCATAGCCACTGTATGTCCAATACATACATATAAGCAACTTTCCTACCACTCCCCTGCCCACCAACAAACTATGGATTTATTTCAGGGGAGAAATGTAAAAGATCTATTCCTAGTCTACAAATAAAACACTAGTTAAATTCTATCCTCCCGTGGCATGCAGAATTACAGCCTCAGAGACATGAAATTAAAAATCACTCTGGAAGTCACGGAGTGCCAGTTTTCCTCTTTCACAAAGAAGAACTGAAGCCATAAAATGAAGTACCTTATCCAAGATTACACAGGGAGAGAGTGGAGTAGCTGGTTCAAGAACTTAGAGGGACTGATTCCTAGGCCACAGTTTTCATGCAGGTACTGACAACATATGGTTCTCTGCTAAGGTTGGATGGAGAAAGACTTGTAATCGGAAAGCATCACAGTTTCTGAGGCCAAGCTGGCAACAGGAGGTAAGGGCAGGCTTTGTGAACATACCTCTTGTAACTGAGATTCTTTCTTTTTAGATGACAAATGTAAGTGTCGATCCAATAAAGAATAAAACTTCTCACCATCTTTTTCAAATTTCTTTTTCCGCTCCTAGATGTGGAAGACAAAGCACAGATTATCGCCTGTCGTTTTAATTCTATGTGCTTGGAAATGAGAATAAAGGCAACAGAATCTTGTTTCATGTGATTAATTCCTCTAGCTCCTAGGAAAAAAATTAAATGATAATTTTCCTTTACATTGGTCTCAGCAGTTTTGACCTCTTCAAATATAACACCAAACCATTCTGCATATAGAATAGCCAGTTTCTGCTGACACAGTTGATCCTCCACACTAGCAGTTGAAGGGTGTTCTGTGGTAGACACTTTTTTTGTACCTCCACTATTTTCTACATGCATTAATCATTCATTCAATATTTGTCATTCATTGTTTGTTTATTTGTTTAAGGAAGGGTCTTGCTATTAACTTCAGGCTGGCCTTGAAATCTCTATGGAGATGAGGCTGGCTTCAAACCTGTAATTCTTCCACCTCAGCCTCTTGAGAGGTAGAATTACAAGTATGCATCACCAAGCCAAATTTATTCAATTTTTTGACAAGAGAATAGAAGAGTGAACTAAATACAACATGGAAAAATTAATCTGCAATGCATTCCAACTGCCTAATAATAAATCAAACATTTCCACAATAACAGGAACCTGGGACTATCTCTTTAATTGAACTCTTTGGTATCACTTAAGGATTTCACTAGTGCATAATAAAAACTGTGACTTAGCCAGGCGTAGTGGCTCAGGCCTATAATCCCGGTACTTGTGAGGCTGAGGCAAAGTGAGCGCAAGATGAGCCTGAACTGCACAGCGAGACCGTATCTCAAAAAGACAAAAAAAAAAAAAAAAAAGGCTGTGACTTAAAAATGGGAGAGAACAATCCTGGAACATTTAACTGGAAAGCAAGAACTGAAAACATTTATGGGGATAAAAGAATTAGCATTCATCTCCCCTTAGGTAAAAATTTAATTAAGTTCTCTGCTGCTCAGCACAAGTGAAATCCACAGTCTCCAAAGTAACATTAACAATGTTCATTTGTCACAGATGATTTCTGACATTCTACAGTCCTCTCAGTACCAGTCTGTGTAATCCATGAAAATGTCTTGTGTGATCTGATAAGAAATCCAAACTCAAAAAAAAAAGAAATCCAAACTCACTGAGCAGCAATACCAGGTACAATAAAACGTACAAGGGAACACACAAATGAAAAGAAAAGAAACCTCTACCTATAGTTTATTGCTACATTTAATTCATTGTTGAACTGGAAGCTAAGTCAGAGCCAAGTGACCTCTAAATATAGAAAAATATACTATTGCCAGACATGGTCATATGCATCTGTAATCCTGTCACTGTGGGACACCAACAAAGGAGGAGGATCTCATGTTCAAGATAATCCTGGGCAATTTAGTGAGACTCTGTCTCAAAAATAAAAATTAAAGTACAGGAACTAGAGTATTTTAATGGAAGAACAAAAGGGAAGAAAAATTAATTGACATATCAGGACAAGCACTGTGATACAAACCTTTTATTTGTCTTAGTTTATGTTAGCTGTACATAATAATTACACTTTTCATGAGAGCTTGATACATATACATGACATGTCTTCTTACTTCCACTCTCTTCCCTCTCCCATCCCTTGAATACTTAAAATGTTTTATTTCCATTAGTCTTTATAACCCTTAGAAGCAGAAAATGTGAAGAAAATTAAGATTCCAATGAGGTGAACCAACTTATTGAAGGTTGCATAATCTGTAGCACTAACTCTTTTCACATAGTCAAATGTGTCCCAGACGATAAGAGGAATAACACACAAGAGTACCTATAATTAAATAACTGTGGTACACTGTTAATAAAGCTGAAATATGCTCATTGCCCTATCACTGATTAAGATACCAAACCACAATAGATGGACATTTTCAAACAAAACTTCAGTGGCACAAACTAACTGTTTGCCCAACTACTAAGTCAAATTAAAGTGTCAATTATCTGAGGAAAGCATGGGAGTCAGAAAACCTTTGTGACTTTGGCAGAAACTGTTAAAGTGTTATGAGACGATTTTTCTTACACTTATTTTTAAGGAAAAACTAAGATATAATTTACATCATAAAATTCATCCTTTTATAAATACAATGGTTTTTCTACATCCATAAAGTTGTACAAACATCACTTCTATCAAATTAAAAAAATGTTCCATTGTGGGAGACAACTCCAGTGACTCCCTTTGAATCCAAAACAATTACTGTGACTTTGATTTACTTGGAGACTCACTTCCTTATACTGATATGTAAAAGGCTGACTAGGGTATTTCCTTCTCTCTTCAATTGGCTCTGAGCATTGCAAATAAGGCTAGCCAAGGTGCTAATATGCAAAATCTATAGCCATCAGACAGTCTTCTTTCCTTGCATAGTGTTCTCCACAATACAGGATTGAGCAAACAGCTCTGGGAACGTTAATTGGGTATGAACCTCAAGATAAGAGGCTATGACTCCCCAGCACACAAGAGTCTGCATATCAGAAACTGAAGCAATAGGCCCCAAAACAATTCCACTGCTACCCTAATTGGATTACATAAATTGATTCTTCTTTATATCTTTATCTCTACAATTTAGAGATGCCTTGATCTTGTACCTGGCCAGCCACGTCAAGTTACTCACATAATTCCTCACAGTCCTCACTGTCACTCATCCCTGAGCCATCCCCCTTCTTCACAAGATAATAAATTCTGGGAGAGGTCTAGGACCAAGGCTTTTGTCCACATGTCCTCACAAGGATTGGACTTAGGACCCCTTGGTTGCCCTTAACTTGGAATATGTCTTGGTGTTTTTACTTTCACTGTGGGTTGCATTGGTGGTGGTAGATTGGAATTATCTTGCTAGGATTCCAGTGATGTCTCAATGGGATTACAAATATGACCTTTTGGATTGTGAGGAAATTTAGAAAAAGGATTACAATACCTGGATGACTGAACCTGATATTTGGGTTTACAATATCCGTCACTCCAACAAGAAAATCTATATACAACTAGTAGGAATTCCCTGTTCTTTCATACTAACACTTTCAAGAAGCCACTCTACTCCCTATTTCCATGGATTTTCTTATTGTAGCATTTTCATATAATCAGAATTATGCATTGTAGTGTTTTGTGACTGCCTTCTTACACTTAGCATATGTTGATGGCTTATGCACACTAACATGTATCAGTTTAATAGTCCTTCTGTGACTCAGTATCTGATTGCATACAATACAATCAAATTTTCTTTATGATTTCAGTTGATTTGGGTTATTCTTTTTGGATTTTATGAATAATGCTGGTATGAATACTCATATGCTAAAATTGTTGTGGGTATGCTTTTTTGGCATATACCTGGAAAAGTAATTGCCAGGTAATATTAAGTCTCTGTTTATCTCGCTGAGCAACTGCTAAACAATGTTCTGAAAATGGCTGCACATTCCCAAAAGTAATAAATGGAAGCTCCAAGTTCTCTATACCCTCACAAATACTAACTATTATTATCAACTGTAACAAGCCACTGGAAATGAACTACTTGCTAATGTTTGATTGCATTTTAAAATTCAATTCAATTTGAATATGAATTTGAATATTTTCTTCTTTATTTATTTCACTTTTATAATACTAAGAATGAAACTCAGGACCTTGTGTATGCTAGGAAAGCAATATACCACTAAACTATCCCCTCCATTATGTAACTCTTTATGCAATTATCAGACTTTTGTGAATATTTTTGGCAAATGTTTACTATCCTATTTTATTCATTTTTGAAAGAGGTGATCTATCTTTTTCTGACTGAGTTATAAGAATTCATTATACATGAAGGGAATACATATATAATCAGGAAAGAGGAATAATGTGGAAGAAAATTATCAGACTATGTTATACACATCTAACACTATACAAAAGCAAGAAATCTAATTTTTCTGTATTACTAATACACACTGACAAAAAAGTAAAAGCATTTTATTTTTGTGCTAGCTTTGAAATTTCATGTAAGCATTGGTTTTACCCATAAGCCAATCTTCCATGGAAAAAGCACTGTAGGATCTATAAAAAGGAGTGTGTGTGCATGCTTGTGTTAAAAAAAAATGATGCTGCAAATTTACTTGAGAGTACAAAATTCTGAGACATTGATTTCATCTTCTTTAGATGATATATACACTATCTCTTGTCTGTCTTTGTGTGTTTTCTATCGCACAATCAGTCTGTCTCTCTGTCTGTTTCTCCATCTTTCTGCAGCTTCTGATGAGACTTTCTTAATTTTAATATAACTCATTTCTTATTTGCCCCAAATGTATTAAATGTCATTTGTTCAATTTAAGAAATCTTTTTCATTTTGAAGACCATAGATGTGTCCTTTATTTCCCATTTAAAATGTCATACTTCATATTTAAAAAGTAAATTAATATTCTATTCAAAATAGGTTCGTGGTGTGGCTAATGATTTAGCTTTTCTCCAGCTAACCACTAACATTAAATTTACTCTGAAATTAGAAATTCATTATGTATGTTCTGAATATTACATTTCCAAGTATTTTCTCCCATTGTTTAGACTGTCTTAGCATTCTCTTTTCTTTATTAGTAGTGTATATTTATGCTATATAACAACATTCATATTGGGGAATGGGTATATATACATATCATTTTGTGATACTTTTTACTCCAGATTTCCTCCACTCTACCTTCTTTCCTGTTCTTACAATCTCCACAAATTCCATAACCCCCTATTTCCTATCTTCTCTCTTTTATTTAAATTACCTATATTATTGGTCTTTCATGTTATAGAACTCATGTGGTAATGAACCTTATCTGTCATATTTATTTCCTCTGGCATTATGATCTGAAGAGCTATCCATTTTCCTACAAATGACTCAAATTTATTGTTCTTTCTGGTGAGGGATATATATATATTCATATATACATAATTTGCCTAATATACTTCATATATACATAATTTGCCTAATGTAAATACTGCTGTTACAAAAATGAGCATGCATTTGTAATATGAAGACTATCTCTTTTGGAAAGACATGCAGA